AAAAGATTTTAAAGCCTCCACCAGAAAACTCTGGCTACTGATAAACATAAACTTTTTGTTTGTTTTTTGAGAAGCAGCATACAAATTTAAAACACAAAATTCAGAAGCTTTCTTACTATCAGCAGCAAAAATATCAAGAAAGAAATCTGGGTAGCAATCCTATTCATAGTAGCATGCAAATAATAATAATTTTGTAATAAATCTAATCAAGGAAGAGAAAAATTTATACAATGAAAACTTAAAGTCACTGAAGATGTAAAGACTTCCTATACCCAATTAGTAGGATTGATATTATAAAAATGGCCATTCTACCAAAAGCAATCTACAGATTACTGTGATCATCATCAAAATTTCAAGACAAAACACTGTTTGTTGTAGGTATTACCATCTCTGCTATTTTTTACAAAGAGATTAAAGGGCACATTGGAGAAAAGAGAGCATCTTCAACAAATGGTCCTAGTCAAGTTGGTTACATGAAGAACAATGAAAGTAGATTTATTTATTTTCCTTCCTCCCTTCCTCCCTTTCTTTTTTCTGAGACAAGGTTTCTCTGTAGCTTTGGTGCCTGTCCTGGAACTAGCTCTTGTAGACCAGGCTGGCCTTGAACTCACCGAGATCCACCTGCCGCTGCCTCGTGAGTACTGGGATTAAAGGCATGTGCCACCACTGCCCAGCAAAACTAGATTTTTATCTCTCTACCTACACAATGTGTACTTTGGTCTCTTAGTAAAAATTATCAGAGATGGTGATACCTACTACATCATAGAAGATGGTTTGGAAAGATTGTAAGAGCAGTGGATAACAACAGCAAAAAAAAAAAGTTTTCTGGATATAACAATGTAACTGCACACATGTACTCAAAGCATTTGTGACAGCATGTACAAGACTTGGGTAAAATAAGCCAAACAAAATCATAGTGTGGATAAGGAAGGTAGTCACACAGTACCACCCTGAAGAGCTATTGAAAATTGCTGAGAGAGAAGAATCAATTTACTTAAAGGATTTAGCCCCTAAGAGGTTACTTCCCAGGATTCAATGGGTGGTCCTACACCCAAATATATACTGGCAGCAATAAGTGAACTCAATGGCTTTAATCAAAAGGGGTGTGTATGCATGGATTGGTCAGGGGGATGGGGGTAGACTTAATCAAGACACATTGTGCCAGTATGAGATTCCCAAACAGAATTATGTGAAGGTAAATATACAAAAATGTTCTTTGTAGTCATTCTCAGTATTAAACATTTCAAATTACCTGCATATGAAACATTCACATTACCTGCATATGACTTTAGGGTTTCACTCTACTACACAGTTAGCTGCTATGAAAAATTAGCATCAGGAGCACAATTTTCCAAATCAGTGCTTGAAAGAATGCAATGGGTAATTAATGGGAATTAACCAAATCTGCATCTAACTTCTATATTTAATGATTTTTTTTTGACATTGAATCGCTCAGTATATAATTCCAATGGATGCCTGAAACCAGTGATAATGCTGAATCTTACATTTTCTCAGGCTTAGTACACCTATAATAAAGTTTAATATATGTAAATTAGATGTAACAGGAAATAAGCAATAATAACTAATAAAAAATAAAATATTGTATTAACAAGGTCATTTATTGAACAGATTCAAGACAAATAATATTTTCAGACTACAGTTGATTGCAAATAACTAAAACAGTGAAAAGTGAAGCCACAGATAAGGAAGTCAGACTACTGTATTTTATTTAGGATTGTGAGTGATTATGTACCTTTCTGTGATCCAGTTACCACTAGTTTTATGTGTGTTACTGAGACTATACAGATAATTAGAATTTACGTAACTTTTCCCTCTCGTCTATGTATTTATAGAATTATACCACCGCTTGTACAACATGTTGGTATATCTATTTGAATTTGTTTTGGAGGCTGTTTTTATTTTGGTTTGGGAGTTTTGTTTTTAGACAGGGCCTTACTATGTAGCCCTTAGCTGGTCTAGAACTCACTGTTATAGGCTATCCTCAAACTTAAAGGAGTATGACACTGTTCCTGGTACTGTCTCTGAATTCTTAATCCATATCATTACTAAAATGAAATTGCAATAAATATACATGCTGAGTCCTTTTCCTTCTAACCTACTCCAAAATAGTGCTGTTTTGACCTATTGCTGAAGGCCTTATTCACAAAGATATATTTATTTGCTTGCATTTTTAGACAGGGTCTTTCTATATGGCCCTGGATATCCTGAAACTCACTGTGCAGGCTGGCCCTCTAACTCAGAAATCCACTTGCCTCTGCCTTAAGAGTGCTAGAATTAAAGGCGTGTGCCACCACATCTGGCCAAAGAATTTATATTTTGTGAAAACTTTGAACTATCACTGTGTGCTGAATAATTTTATGTCAACACGACACAAGCTAAAGTCATATTAAAGGAAGGAACCTCAATTAAGAAAATGCCTCCAGGGCTGGAGAGATGCTCTTTGGTTATGCTCTTCCAAAGGTCCTGAGTTCAATTCCCGGCAACCACATGGTGGCTCACAACCATCTGTAATGAGGTCTGGTGCCCTTTTCTGGCCTGCAGACATACACACAGACAGGATATTGTATAAATAAATAAATAATTTTTTTTAAAAAAAAAAGAAAGGAAAATGCCTCCATAAGATGGGCCTGTAGGCAAAACTGTAGGACATTTTTAAATTAGTGATTTATGGGCATGGGCTCAGCCCATGTGGGTGGTACTGTCCTTGGGCTGGTTGTCTTGGGTTTTATATGAAAGTGAGCTGACTGGGTAGTGGTAGCACACACCTGAGTTTGAGACCAGTCTGGTCTACAGAGCAAGTTCCAGTACAGACTCACAGAAAAACCCTGTCTTGAAAAACAAAACAAACAAACAAACAAAACAACAACAAAAAAAAGGTTTTGCTGAGCAAGACAGGAGGACCAAGCTAGTAAGCAGTGTATCCATTTGCTTCTGCCTCTAGGTTCCTGCCCTGTTTTAGTTCCTGTACTGACTTACTTTGATAATACTATGGAAGTGTAAGCCAAATAAACCTTTTCCTCCCCTAATTGTTTTGGTCATGGTGTTTCATTACAGTGATAGTAACCCTAGCTAGGATACACAGTGATGCTATTTAGTTTCACATAGAGTAGACTAATGAGTTTTCTTCTAAAACTAATTGTAATACTTTTATTTCATGTGAGCCTGATTAATTTGCCCTTTTTGCTTTTTTATTAGTTTATTGTTCATTTTGTTTTGAGACAGGGTCTCATGTAACTCAAGCTGACCTTGTGCTCTATGCAGTTTTCAGATGGGGCAGGGGGTTCAAGAGGACACTAGAAGATTACTGGGCACTAAGGAGTTTATTAGAAGAGATTGTGGGTTGTTTTTTTTTTTTTTTTGGTCAAATCTGCGTGTATCGTAATCAGCAGGTAGGACACTTGTAACAATGAGGGAAAAAAATGTTGTGAAAGTAAGAATTTGGTGAAGTTGCCTGGTAGGTTACTGTTGTAGGAGGCCACTTGTTTGTTCTCGACTGCTCAGCCCCAAAATAATCACACAAAAAAACATATTATTTGTAATACTGTTTGACCAATAGCTTAAGTGTTTTTCTGGCTAACTCATATCTTAAATTAATCCGTCTCCATTAATCTGTGTATCTAATCTGTGTATGGCCACAATGCTGTGGCTTACCGGATAAAGTTCTGGGTCTTCTTCAGCAGGGCTACATGGCTTCTCCAAGCTCTCTGCCTTCCTTCTCCCAGCATTCAGTTTAGTTTTCCCCGCCTACCTCTGTTCTGCCCTGCTATATGCTCAAGCCAGCTTTCTTTATTCATTAATGGTAATCACAGCATACAGAGGGGAATCCCTCATCAGGTTACCTTTGGGGGCTCATAGGTAGATTCTAATTCTAGCCCAGAGCAGAAGGAAGACTACATAGCCTATGAAGAATGAGTCCACCAAGGAGATCTCTGTAGATAACTGTGTATGAACTTGGTGGAGGTGACCTTGTAACCTAGCAGGAACATGGCCAGAGGTACCAGGGTCAAGTGGGGGAAGACAGTCTGGTTTACTAAACTGATTTATTTATCTACTCATGGCCTTGAACCCCGTTCTGCTTCATTATTAGAAACATTTTATATTATTTTTATTTCCAAGAACCTACTGACAAAGAAGAAATAGCATTGAAGAGGCTCTGAGGAGAATCCCTTTTCTAAAAAGAATCAAGATCTGAATGGCAAGGGAGGGAGTTTCTTTTTAGACCTTTTAAAGGATGGGGATGAGGAGTTAAGTGATAGTAAGATTCTGTAGCCAGAATCTCATGATTCCCAGGCTGGATATAGGGACATTTCTAGTGGTACCAGTAAGTTTTTTAGCTGGGGGCTCATAGACAGTACCCCAATAGGATTCCTATTAATATTTGTGAGAGGTTTCTCCTGATCAGAGGCTTCATGCTGACATATTACTCCAAGGATAACCTTGAATGCCTTATCCTCCTGCCTCTGCTTCCCAAGTGTTGAATTTATAGACTTATACAACAGTTTTTTTCTGTTTTATTTATATAAAATTGTTCCTTAGTTATCCTGCCAAAACAATAGTAACCCATAATTCTTTGTATAAAGCTTTTAGAATAGTATCATATTATATGATGCTTACCAAACTCTGTAAATTCATACCTATCCTGGGTTCAATGTCCCAAATAAAGGCTGAATTAATCGATATGTTAGTTTTCAAGGTTGAGCACAAGATTTTCTAACCAATCAGAACACCTGGTTACCATTTTAAATGTAAGGAAAGGTATTGTCATCAACCTATTTTTTTTTTCTGTAAAAGTAAGATCTGCCGTACTCCTTATTGTTTCTTGAGATTGCCACTTCCTACCTCTGATCCCTACATGGATCAGGTCCTGCATATACATCAGAAAAAAAGGCAAGGGACATTAAGAAGGCAGCCTGTTTGAAAAAAAAAAATCAAGATTCTCTTTTCATTAACATTTTTGTGGCTATTTTTATGGATTTTAGGGAGTGAAGCCTGCCAGTTTTGACAAAGTAGCAATTCCTGAAGTGAAGGAAATTATTGAAGGATGTATCCGACAAAATAAAGATGAAAGGTAAGTTGCTTCTTGACCCCTGATGTTGCTTGAACAATGTGAGGTATATTTAATACTTGTGTTTCATTTTTCCATTCATAACATTTTTTTAAAGATTTTTAAAAATTGGATTCTTTTCATTGAAGCTACTCAGATTTGCTCTCTGTAACTGTAAAAATGTGATTTAATGATGTTTAAGTAAGTTAAGTTTATATTTAAACCAGAACCACCTTACACATAGTCTCTACATTCATTGAAAACTACTTATAGCAATATAATAATTTAGAAAACTCTACAGTAGAGTTCATTCACCAATGCAAAAAATTCATTCCTTAATCATTCTCCCTCTGAAATTTGAAAGTAAAGTAAAATCTTGGCTTTTGAAAATCAACTTAGCTGTACAGGCCTTTATTTTTCTACCATTATACCAGGATTGAAAAAGAGTAAAACATTAAAATTCCTTTGAGTAAACAGATTTTATGCAAGGCTTAGAAGAAGAGCTGACTTAGTTATTTGTACAAACAGAGCTTTTCTGAGAAGAGTGTCCAATATCAGTTATGCAGTGTAGCTTAATGGGTCACCTGTAGGTTTAGCAAAGATACATGATTATTTGAAAAATAATCTGCCTTGCTTAACACCATACCAGCCTAAAAACAAAAGGTACACTATCCTAATTAATATAAACTGTAAATCGAGCATAACCTATCTCCTAAAATATGGCCACAATTGGCTATATCAGCCAAATTCAAGAATTTCATATTTTAACTCTTCTAGTTTCGTGTTCTTTTCAAAACTTTGTTATTTATAAGAGCTCTACATCATGATCTTTCAGACTGTTCAGCAGATAGTTAGCTATTAGTTTCTGTTTTGAGATATACAGCCCTTAGAAACTCTTTTAAGACTTTTTCAGTATAAACAAAGGGATATTTGTTTTGAGTTTAAAAAAAACATTCTGTTTCATTTCTGGATGGAAAAGTTTCTTTGATTACTGGTATTTTGTATAAAGAAGATTGTGGGGCTGGAGAAAGGCCTAGGCGGTAAAGAGCACTGGCATGGGTTCAATTCCTGCACCCACATGGCTGCTGTCTGTAACTCCAGTTCCAGAATATCTGACACCCTCACACTAATATACATAAAATCAATAAAATATTTTTAAAAAGATTGGTTGTTATGCATCCAACCTTTGACTTGCGTAATCCACAAGTTGTTGATAAGGAATTGAAGGCATTTATTGTAATAAATAAAGGTTGCTGTTATAGAAACTACCAAACTAGAAAACAACAAATTTATGTTTTAGTTATTATTATATCATTTATAACTGTAAAACTTTGAGAAAGAATCTTAACCTTCCTCTTCCTTCATTTTATAAAAGTCAGGAAATGGTATTCCGTTGTTATTGTTCAAGGACTAGAGAAGGTCCTACACAGTGTTTTGTTGTCATTGTTTTTTGTTTGTTTGTTTGTTTTGTTTTGTTTTTTGCTACGTTTTGTGATATTTTGAAGCTTTGATATCCTGTGTATTATATCCATAATCATTCTACTGACTAATGAAATTAGATCATTTGATTTAAAACTTGTCCCTATCAGCTGTTAATAAAACAGATTGGCATAAGATGGTAGGCTGGGGATGAAGAAGTGTTTGTCTACCATGTGCAAGGTCCCGGATTCCGTTGCCAACACACACGCACACACAAAACGCTGTAACATTACCATTCAGATGGACTAATGTTAAAATGAATCACAAATTTTACCTAGTTTTTTCTATCATAGATTTTTTTCTCCTTAATTAAATAACAATAAACACATACATTTAAAAGTCATTCTTATGCCTGTAAATGCTCTGTTAGTCTGAGTCCAGCTTGGCAACATAGGAGATACTGTCTCAGAAAGAGAGAGAAATATCTTTTCAAACTAATGACTTCTTTTTTTAATTTTCTTTTTCTTTGAAAGATATTCCATCAAAGACCTTTTGAACCATGCCTTTTTCCAGGAGGAAACAGGGGTACGGGTAGAATTAGCAGAAGAAGATGATGGAGAAAAGATAGCTATTAAATTATGGCTGCGTATTGAAGATATTAAGAAATTGAAGGGAAAATACAAAGACAATGAAGCTATTGAATTTTCCTTTGATTTGGAGAGGGATGTACCAGAAGATGTTGCTCAAGAAATGGTAAATTGACCCCTAACTGTTATAGATTTATGTATACTGATACCAATAGGGGAAAAACAAACATCTAATGAGTGTTGTATGTTGCATTTCTCATTAACATGAGGTTGTGTGATCCCATATGTTTTATCTTTAGATAGGCGGATTTTTTTATGATTTATCTTTTAGACCTTTCTTTGTATTTTTTTGTTATTGTTTTGATAATGTGGGTTGGTTTTAGTCCTTTAAAAATTTTATATGAGGAAGATAACATGTAGTTATAAGTGAATGATTAAAGTAGACTGGAATGTATTCTGGAGTCTTTCTGAAAACTTATAAAGGTGAATAACTCTAGCTGACTGTAGCAGACTTTAGTCAAAATGTGTTAGTTATGCTGTTTTGCTTTGGGAACATTGAATTTATGTTTGCCCTGTTCTCTGAGTGCTGAAATTATAGGTATAGCTAATCAGACCAAGTTTGGAATTGTTTCTAAACATTGGTTAACTTTTGATCCATCATTATAAACACTAGAGAGAGATACAGAATTATAAGGTATTTTCACTTTGGTGGCTGGAGAGGTAGCCCAGCAGTTACCCAAATTGAGGAACTCACAACTGCTTATAACTCCAGCACCAGGGGATTGGATACCTCTGGCCTCTGTAGAACCTGTACACACACATACAATTTCAATAATAAAAATAAATATTATGAAAACAGTTTTTACTTTGAATGGTGTTTTCAAGATCAAATCACTCTGATGTATCCTTACTTTAAATATGTGTAAAAGATCACTGTTCTAAAAGGAAACCCTTAGCCAAATCTAGGTATGCCCCAGTGCCTAAAATAGCCAATTATTATACAAAGGTAGTCATAAAATAACCTTACTAGGATTTATTAAAAAACAAAAAAAAACTATTCGGTAGTAGAAAAAGGGTCAGATATGAAGGGGGTACTTATTTTTTATTAATTTTATGTAATGTTCTATAGAAATGGTGGGATCTACTCTTTATTTACCACAATTGTGGGGAAACATATAATGCAGATTGGTAATTTTACTGTTTGGTGAAGAAGAATCCTAAGGTCTCTGATGTTAGTGGCACACATCTGTAATTCCAGTACTTGAAAGCTGAGGCAAGAGGATTTCAAGTTTGAGGCCAATTGTAAAATTGATCTCAAATATTATAAAACTTGAAAAAAATACATGCACCCCTCCAAGATGACTAACCTACTTTTCTTCAGTGCCTTTTGTTTGTTTGTTTGTTCATTTTGTTTTGAAGTAATTTTCTCTAAATATCCTTTTTCTTCATATATTCTTTTATTCTGTAGGTCGAGTCTGGGTATGTCTGTGAAGGTGATCACAAGACCATGGCTAAAGCTATCAAAGATAGGGTGTCATTAATTAAGAGAAAACGAGAGCAGCGGCAGTTGGTGCGAGAGGAACAAGAAAAAAGAAAACAGGAAGAGAGCAGTCTCAGACAGCAGAATGAACAACCACCAAGTGTTTCCCAAGCAGGAATTCAGCAACTCTCTTCAGCTAGCACCGGCATACCAACAGCTCCCACCACTTCTGCTTCAGTTTCTACACAAGTAGAGCCTGAAGAACCCGAGGCAGATCAACATCAACAGCTACAGTATCAGCAGCCTAGTATATCTGTGTTATGTAAGTGTTAGGAGAAGTAAGCAAAGTGCTAGTGATGCTTTTGATTATTTCCGTTCTTGAACTCATTATTAATAGAAGGGTGAAACAGTGAGAAAATGTGCTTATGATACAAGGGTATTTGAAAACTTCTAGTGTCTTGACATTTTGAGTTTGTAGGTTATTTATCTATTTTATTTAGTTCCTTCAAATTAAATTTGCAGAGAATAAAGGGTAAATAAATTTCAATTTATAATTGAAGCTGTTAATGTGGTTTCAGCTCTTTTAGCAAAATTACTTAGGAGACCAAAAGTGCTCAGTAATTGAATTAAGTATTTATCATCAAGTAAACACAGGTCTCCACAGAATAAGACCTCGAAGTTGAATTCAATTTAAGATGATATCATTCAGTGACAATCAGAAATTTTTTGTTTTGTTATTGCTGTTTTGTTTTTATTTTGGTGACAGGATTTCTCTGTGTAGCCCAACTCTCCTGGAACTATCTCTGTTGACCAGGCTGGCTTTGAACTCAGAGATCCACCTTCCTCACCTTTCCAATGCTGGGATTAAAGACATGCACCACTACTGTCTGATGAGAAATTTTTTTTTTAAGATTACTACTTTTTTGTACAAGTCCCTCATTTAAATGTAGACAGGTGCCATGTTGGGCTGCCATCTGTCAAAGACCAGCCTCGATGAAACTCATACATACCAGGGTAGGAGCATGAGGATTAATTAGAATTATTAAGCAAAAGAAACAAGGATATAAGAGACAGAAACACAAAACAGCATCAGCAGAAAGTCAGTGAATACTGAATTGTGAATCCGTCCTCATTTATTTTCTACACACTTATGTACTCCAAAAGGGAAGGGGGGTGGCAACAAACTTCATTCAAATCTGTTCATAAGGAATGGACTTGAATTCTCCGACCTTTGGTCCGGGTGTAGTGGATCCACCTCTATACCCAAAATACTAATTAACTACACCCTAAGTCAGAATCTCTTGTTTATAGCCACATCTGTTGTCAACAACTTTGAGAGAGCAAAAATAAGCTCAAACTCTCTGACTTCCAGTCAAGGTGAAACAGGCTCATATCTTAATAAGACTGCTAATTTTGGGGTGGGGGGGTTGTTTGTTTGGTTTGGTTTGGTTTGGGTTTTGGTTTTTCAAGTCGGTGCATGTCCTGGAACTCGTTCTGTAGACCCGGCTGGGCTTGAACTCACAGAGATCCACCTGCTTCTGCCTACTGAGCATTGGGATTAAAAGTGAGCTCCACCACCACTGGCCTATTCAGTTTTTAAAATTTACTCCAGATTTAAACAAAGAGATAACCAATAACATTAATGTAATGAGTCTACAATGTGAACAGCTTCTCCCTCTTCCATCTCCCACCCTCTAATGATTCATTTATCCTTCAGCTGATGGAACAGTTGACAGCGGTCAGGGATCATCTGTCTTCACAGAATCTCGAGTGAGCAGCCAACAGACAGTTTCCTATGGCTCCCAACATGAACAGGCACATTCTACTGGCACAGCACTGGGGCATACAGCTTCTAGTATCCAAGCACAATCTCAGCCTCATGGGGTGTATACACCCTCAAGTATGGTGAGTAAATGCATAAGAAAATGTAATACTAAAATGATAGCCAATAGGTAATCTTCAAATTATTTCTTATGTCATCTAGGTAGCAATGTGAGTCTAAGGTAGAGAATATAAATGGTCTAGTCAGTCATTGTTGTCTGTGGTTTTCATGTGGGTGGATTTAAATAGTAAAATGCTTAAAATTTTTATCTGTACTGAACACGTACAGACTTTTCTTGATATATTCCCTAGTAATACAACAATTTTTAAATGCCTTTTGAATTGAATTGGGTATTATAAGCAATCTAGAGATTATATGCAAATACTATGATAATCTATATAAAAGTTTTGGACAACTGCAGATTTTTTTCTGTTGGGGTGGCTTGGAACCAACTCAGCATAGAGACTGAGGGTTGATGTTATTTATAAAGGAAATAAGTTTATAAGAATATAACCAGAGTAGTTTTGTCTGGGTAACATACACATTAACAAGTGAGAATTAGCTGAACTTCAAACACAAAGTAGCTGTGTACAATAAGACTGAACTGCACTCTCTTCAACACCTAGGAATTAAATCTGTTCAAAGTGGCATAAACTAGATACAACAGATGATTTGTGGGTGGAGCAAGGCTTTTTAAATTTTTTTTGAAAGCTTACTAAAGTAACAAGTGTTTCTATAAGATTTTTTTTTTGTACAAAAACCAGGTAAGACCTTCCAAACTATTATAGAATGTTGCATGTAAGTATTACAGAGTAAAAGAATCCTTTTATTGTATGACCTCTGACTAATTTATTGCTTGTATTTAGTTGATCATCAGTTGCTATGCGTGTTCCTTTCCCAGTATATGTTCATTTGCCTTTTCCTTTATTTGGTATTTATTTTATTACCAGTTTATTTTCAGAGTCAGCTTACAGAAGTAATAAATTTATTGGAATATGATGTATATGCACATTGTCCTTTTGCAATAGCGAAAGTTAAATTAGATGAATAATAAAATATCCCCATTTATTTTTTTTGCTGACTCTGTGAGGTGTTCAGAGGAAAAAAAGATCATATACTTCAGAAAGGAATTAGATGATAACTGTTCACTTTATATCACTTCTTTAGTACAATCTTTAAGCACACTGATTTTCCTCCCTCCTTTCCAGAAGGCTTTTAATCTGAACTTTGTAGAATTCTTATATCTTCATTAAGTGAAAAAAAAATTTTTTTTCAGGAAAATACTTTCACTCATAAAAGATGTTTGTTTTGGAGTCCATTGATGGATCAGTTCTGCTTTGGACTTAGGTCCCAAGATGAATGGCCACATTAATTCAAAGAAAAGTACAATTAATATATACTAACCTTTTAACAATCTGTTCTTAACCTAAGTAGGGCAAATGACCTTGGGTGATTTATTTCCATATACTGACAAATATTAGTTGTCAGCACTTCTTCATTTCTTTGTTTCACAGTTATTTTCACCTCTTGGCTTCCTCATCATGGGGGTTATATTTTTTTTTTTAAAGAGTAATAGGATTGATCATTTATCCAGATTTTAAATGCTCAAGCCATTAACATTAGTTGTATTTATTTGTTGCTCTAAAGTTAGACTGTCTCTAACTTTTTGATGATAGTCTTCTATAGAGTGATTATAAAGAATTACAAATATTTAGAATAATAAAACACTTTATAATCCTACTCTTTCTTTTTCATTTCAAGAACTTACTATGCCTAAGAGAAAATTTAAAAAGAGAGACAAAGGTAAAAATTTGTAAACAAAATGAACTTAATCATGATGATACATACTGATGGACTCCAAGTTTTGCTAAAAGCATTTCTTTGCAGCCAGTTTTGTAAAAGAAAAGATCATAAACTTGCTCCAGGTACCATCACAATATTAGACTAGCTTTGTAGCTCTGATCAACCCTTTCTCTTAGGGCACTACAAACTTTGTAAGTTTAAACTGACTTTATCATGTGGGGGAGGGGTTAATTCTTTAGAGATTCAAATTGAAGGCATTTCCCCCACTGACTCCTTTATAAAAGTACACAGTATTTGTAATACCTAGTGGTAAACTTCAGAAAGCTATTCTTTTTCTTGTCTTTGATGATGACTTTTTAACCTTTGTACAGAAAGTTGCAAGTGTATCTTGTAGACTATCTTCTAAAATAGAAAAGTTTTTCCTCAAGTTTCTAGAGCTCTTGCAAATAATCTACTCCTAAAATCTCCCAAATTTTATACTTCAGTAGAATTTATTCTTATACTCTTACTAAATTTTTATAACTATAGTTCATTGTTACCTGTATGGTACCCCATTAGTCAGTTTTTATTAATTCATGCACTTAAAAGTTGGTGTTACTTCAAAATAGTCAAGATCATAATTGATCTTTTGTTCATATGAGAAAACCTGCAAAAAAAATCAAAACAGGGAGACTAGTTATGATATACCAGCTGAGCTTTGTAGAATTATGTTTCACCTAAACATTCTTTTTTTTTTTTAAAACTTTGCAGAGTTGGGGAGGGTAGAGCATTTCTTTATGTTTACTATGCCCTATTATCACTGTACATTTAGTTATTTTGTTTTCAGAGTACTGTGTTTTTCATGTGTGTTTGTTTTCTGTTTAGCCTCGTCGTGGCCGTAGCATGTCGGTTTGTGTTCCCCATCTTTCTGCTGTTCCCTCTCTATCCCGCATCTCTCCCAGTGCTCCTTCTACCCCACCACCAGTGCTGTCTGCACCTCTTTATCCTTCCCTCCTTCGGACTGCCCCTGAGGAAACTTTTGCCGAAAATCTCTCTAAAGCATTGGAGAGTGTCCTGCCTATGCACTCTGCCTCTCAGCGCAAGCATCGACGCTCCAGCCTGCCTTCCCTCTTTGTCACTACTGTATGTAAATGTAAACTTCCTGACAAGTGAAAAACTATTTACCAATGAATACATCCAGGCATGGAAAATTTGATTAAAGAGCCAAACTAAACTATTAGCTTGGTTATATGTTGTGCTTTTAGGATGACAGCTATTCCTATAGAAAACATTTTTTTAAAAGAATACTTTAAATGAGAATAAAAAGCAAGGAGGCAATGAGATTTTGTTTAAATAGCACATATCAGTATAGCTTTTATTATACTTTCCTAGCTTCCATTGATAAAAGGGTTTGAATTTTCATATCTTAGCAAAACTATGTGTATTACTCATTATTAAACTCATTATTAGCCTAATCAAAAATTGATTCTATCAAATATTAACCAAATGTGTTCTCTCCTCAATTTATTCTTCATGGATACAACTAGTTGAATCCCTTGATTTTTAAGCCAGTCAGTTGAGGAGTAAAAATTGATTTTAATTCAGTCATTTGTGTAAAATGATATGTCAGGAAGCTAAAAGGCTGTTCCCTCTTTGGGAAGTACTTTTTTGCTCCACAGATTACATAAGATTGGGCATAGACTCTACTGAATATATTAGATAAATATGTAGCATATATAACTTTTCTCATCTCCATTAATGTCTATGAAGCTACACAACTTCTCAAATTACTCTACTTGCTGTAAGACCTTGCTTACTACTTTTCCAAACAGAAAATATAGTTAATATTCTGAACTAGTGTCACCAGAATTTTAAGATATTTAGTTAGGAAAATGACAACCTGTGTTATGGCTTTAGGATAAAACTTGAATAATCATTAAAATGTTAGCATTTGTTGCAGAATACTCCTAGCAGGATGAAGAAATGGCTCGGTGACTAAAGTACTGCAAAAGTATGGAGACCTGAGTGCAGATCCCCAGAACCTATGTAAAGCCTGGCGCAGTAGTTCACATCCATAATCTCAGTTTTCCTGTGGTGAGAAGGGAAGTGTTAACAGACTCTTCAGAATCTCGTGGCTCTCCAGCCTGTTGTAGACTGCATCAAACAACAGAGACATGTCTCAAACAAATTGAATAATGAGGGCCAACACTTGAGGTTGTCCTCTGACCCTTTCCCCCCCATACCCATTTTTGTGTTGTTAAGGATTGAATCTGGACCCTTGCATATGCTAGACAAGCACTCTATTGAGCTATATCCCTAGCCTAAAACCAATATCTTTTAAAAAGGAGTTCAGTCCTTGGTAGGGAATTATGTGCATTGCATTTGGCAAGCTGCGAGTCTAAGCTCAGTCTTAATTCTGGGAACAAAAATTGCTATTGAATTGGTTTTGTTATTATTATATTACCTCCATTTTATCTGATTTGTCAGAATTAGAAAACTCGTGGTGTTCAACCCTTATTAATGTTCAGAAGAATGATTCGGCATCCCTAACATTTTGTAGTAAAACTATTAATTGTAGTTTTGGATACAGAAAGGAAAAAAACTAGTCACTTATCCTTTTATTGTCTGTTTTTTTTTTTAATATGGTGTCTCATATAATTGCTCAATATGGACTTATAGTCCAAAATCCCCCTTCCTCTGTTTCTTTTTTTCCCCCAAGATTCATTCATTCATTCATTCATTCATTACGTGTACAATGTTCTGTCTGCATGTATGCCTGCAGGCCAAAAGAGGGCACCAGATCTCATTGTGAGCCACCATGTGGTTGCTGGGAATTGAACTCAGGACTTATGGAAGAACAGTCAGTGTTCTTAACAGCAGAGTCTATCTCCCCAGCCCCCACCTCAGCTGCTTAAGTCCTAACATTATATAAGTGTGCACCATTGAACTTGACTTGTTTGTCTTATACCGTCTACCAGAGATCCCTTTTGATTTATACTATTACAAATTTCTTCTGATTATTTACTCTTAGTTGATGAAAATAATACTGAAGCTTCTAATAGACTGCTATAGTAACAATATTGAACAGTAGCTTAAATTGAAGTATATTTTTAATTATAAAAATAGTAGGATTCTTTGTTGTCCTTTAATATTTTATCTTTAGGCTTTTCCATTGACAAAACTTTAAGAATGAACACATTTATTATAGATAAATAGAATAATTATTTAGGAAGTTTACTTCATACCTTTGCTTTGAGAGAGCAGATTTGTGGAAAAACAGCTGTTTTTTTATTCAAGGAAGTACCAAAGATTGACTTTATTGGCCCTGGATGTATTTAATGGATTTTTACTATACACATAATTTCCAAAAGCATTGTTAATTATTAAAATTTTAGTGTGACCACTTCATGGGGTTACACAGAACTATCCAGCTATGCATGTCTGATGTAATTTCACTTACTGAATGTATGAATTACTTGTCTTATTCATGTTGATACAGCCTCAGTCCATGGCGCATCCGTGTGGGGGGACCCCAACATACCCAGAATCACAGATACTTTTCCCAACTATTCATGAACGTCCAGTTTCTTTTTCACCACCTCCCACCTGTCCACCGAAAGTAGCCATTTCCCAACGACGTAAGAGCACCTCCTTCCTGGAAGCCCAAACTCGCCACTTTCAACCCCTGCTGAGGACTGTTGGCCAAAATCTTCTTCCACCTGGTGGCAGCCCAACTAACTGGACACCAGAGGCCATAGTTATGTTTGGTACTACAGCCGGTAGAGTAAATAGAGAGCTATGTGAGATGCAGGCCCAACCTGTGTTTGAGCCAGCCCAGATTTACAGTGACTATAGACCTGGACTAGTACTGACAGAAGAAGCTCACTATTTTATTCCTCAGGAAACAGTTTATCTAGCTGGGGTGCATTACCAGGCCCAGGTGGCAGGACAGTATGAGGGCATTTCATACAACTCACCAGTACTGTCAAGTTCTATGAAACAGATACCTGAACAGAAGCCAGTGCCTGGGGGCCCTGCCTCAAGTTCTGTCTTTGAATTTCCATCTGGACAGGCTTTCCTGGTAGGACACCTTCAGAATTTAAGATTAGATTCTGGACCCAGTCCAGCATCACCCCTCTCTAGTATTTCTGCGCCTATCAGTACAGATGCTACACATTTGAAATTTCACCCTGTCTTTGTTCCTCATTCTGCACCAGCTGTGTTAACTCATAACAGTGAGAACAGAAGCAACTGTGTATTTGAATTTCATGCTCAAACACCAAGTTCTTCTTCAGGAGAAGGAGGTGGGATTTTACCTCAACGTGTTTACCGAAATCGACAGGTTGCAGTGGACTCAAGTCAGGAAGAACTGCCTCCTCAGTCAGTTGGATTGCATTGCCATCTGCAGCCTGTTACTGAAGAACAGCGTAATAACCATGCCCCAGAATTGACCATTTCTGTGGTAGAGCCTATGGGACAGAACTGGCCAATAGGAAGCCCAGAATATTCCAGTGATTCCTCTCAAATTACTTCTTCAGATCTCAGTGATTTTCAGTCACCTCCCCCTACAGGGGGAACAGCTGCACCTTTTGGCTCTGACGTCTCATTGCCCTTTATTCGCCTGCCTCAGACAGTGTTACAAGAATCCCCACTTTTCTTCTGTTTCCCCCAAGGAACCACAACTCAGCAGGTCTTATCTGCCTCATATTCTTCAGGAGGATCTACACTCCATCCACAGGTTATAGGAAAACTTTCACAATTCTTTTAAACTACCCTATTTTGCACTAGAGCATTTAAATTTTCTATCTCATGTCCCTGAATCATGGATTTATGAGGAATGTTGTTTATTTTCTTAATAGAATTTCTTTTGTGGTTATAAATATTTGTACTAAAGAATGAACTATAAAGCAGAAACTACCTGGTTTGCCTGTGATTGTAGTCGTCAGAATTAATGACTAATCTCTATGTGGAAATTTACCTTAGTAATGAAAATGCAATTGTCTATTTTGATTATTTAGATACAGTAAAATGATTTAGTATAATTTCTTCCTCTAAATAAGCTTGTAAAAATTAAAGAAGTATAACCTTAAAGGAAAATGGGAAGTAGCGAAAACTTTTTTGTGTGTCATGTTAAGAAACACAGAGCCTTATGAGTAGGACTTAAGAAAACACATCTTATGAATTTGGCTTAACAAATGAAGGTGTAGTTTTGAAATGGTATCAATCAAACCACTGTATTAAGGACCCAAATGTAACATTAATCAGGACTATGTCAAATTTTAACAACTGTTAGAGTCTATTGTGTAATGATTTTATTGGGTTTTAATAATGGATTACAAAGGCCAGGAACAGTAGTGTCTCAGGCTTTGTTCTCTCAATATATTTAAAAATTTAGTCACATGTACACGAGTATACATGCTCATACAAATATAAAATGAGACACAGAATTAAAGAAGTCAGTTATGACTATTTCATATACTCTTTAAGTATGTCAGTTACTTGGAATAGTGGTAAGAAGCAGAAGGACCCTGAAACTTAAATAGCGTGGGCACGCTGTATGCTCACATTATCCTTCAAACTTTGCAAAGAAAAAAAATTAAAATAGATAATTTAAATTTTCATCAAGTGTGATATATCCCTGTAAACATTGAAGAACCTCTTCTAAATTGAAATGAAACAATAACGGTAGCCTTTTCGTTTTCTTAACATATGTCTGTGTGCATAGTATACATGCATTAATTTCCCTAACATATATTCTTGTACTCTATTCTCAGTTAATATAGACTTGTTAAATGGAATAAGCTGTTCAGTTTCTCAGACCCAACATGGTTCACATTCTCTGGGTTGGTTAATCCTTTGTTCTGAATGGGGACTTGTATGGTCATTATAGAATTTTTAGTAGCGTCTTATAGCCATTTTCCCTAGTTTTGACAATTAGAATGTCTTCAAATGTTTCCATGTGTTACCCGAAGCAACCATTACATACCTGTTGAGAAATTTTTTTTGAACAGACATTTCACATTTTTTATCAGTTACTATGACTACAAGAAATAGCAAAAGATAACCAAATTAGCACTTTTGAATGGTTTTTATTTAATTAATCTAAATTAAGTGTTTTCATGTTGATATCTTAACACATTTTTTCCTGTGACAATTTTATTATTGAATCTAACTATTCAAGCCAGCTAAAACTTTAGCCATCATTAATAGTAGGTTTTTAACATCAATGTGTTTGTGGTTTTGTTTGATTTTACCTGAGATGTGATCAGAAATGTTCTATGATCTTTTTCCTAAACTTACCTTATAAAAACAAACAAATAAACAAAACCCAGAGGTCTGTCTTGTATTACACTACCAAACTGTTTCATTTCAATCAAGCAGTCTTCTGAGGATCTGAAGTATTTATACAAAAGTCTAACTTTCATGTGCATAAACCTTTTCTGATTTATATTTGCCTTTTTATTTCAGGCACAGGGGCAGAGCCAAGGCCAGCCTTCAAGTAGCTTAGCAGGGGTTCTATCTTCACAACCTGTCCAACATCCTCAACAGGTAAAAATGTTATGGTGTTACATTATGTTTTATCAGTGGCCAAAAGCACTATTACTTTATGAGCTAGATTTCTGATATAAATGGCTTGCTAACTTTTTGGAGAATAATTAAGGGGCATAACATTTCTGGCATTTAGTAGTATTTTAGGAAATCTTTCATTTTGGTTAATTTACTTATAACACTTGAACAATTTACTAGGTATATGTTGAAATTTAGAAGAATTGTTACATAATTTGTCGTCTTAATGATTGTATTCATGAGGTAACATATACAAAGAAAATGGTTTCTATTTATGTTTTATGACTTGTCCACATATAAGAATTTTGTCATCTTTAATCCCAGCGTTTGAGAGGCAAAGGCCTGGTGAATTTCTGAGTTCAAGGCTAATCTGCTCTACAAAGCAAGTTCCTTGACAGCCAAACTACAGAGAAACCTTACCTCAAAAAAGAAAGAGGGAAAAAAAAGGAGACATTTTGTCATTACAGCCTCCCATGGTTCATGCCTTGGATAGTGAACTTGTTATTAGTTATTAGTGGGATAGTGTATCATATTTTGCACTATAAGGGAATAAATGAAAACCTACAGAACAAAATAATTTTTTTTTTCTTTAAGGGAAATGGAGTGATGGCTCACTAGTTAAGAGTATGTAACCAGGTAGTGGCCACACAGCACTCGGGAGTAAAAGAAAACATAAAAAGCAACTACTACAGGAAGTGTTTTGTTTACAAGAAAGGGTTTCTCTGTGTAGCCCTCTCTGTCCTGGTACTCACCCTGTAGACCAGACTGGCCTTAAACTCGGAGATCTGCCAGCCTTCACCTCCCAGTAACTGGGATTAAAGGCAAGTACCACCATGCCCGTCTGATTTTTTTTTTTTTAATTAAATTTTTGACATGGGATGTTTTGTCCCAGAAGATCTGAGGAATTCAGGACATGAATTTAAAAAGAGCCAAACATCAATAAAATGGCTAATCTTAACATTCAAATAGTTTATCAATACTTTTGCTTAGCAGATTTTTATTTACAGGAAATCATTCATTTTGAACAATTTATTAATTAGTTGTTTCAAGCAAGATTTATACCCATCTGTTTAATATGATAAACTATTTCATTGATGGTTCTTCTACTATAGTTTTAATGACCATGTTGTAAAGTGACTTCTAATTTTTGAAACAAAGGCTTCATTCTTATTATAAATGGCCTTTTTAAATACACTAAGTGGCCATATGGTCACTTCATCTTTATGGAGGTTAAGTTACAGGTTAGTGAGATGACTCAGTTAGGTAAAGTTTCTCTCTCTCTCTCTCTCTCTCAGTGCTCTTGCCTCTGCCTCCCGAGTACAAAAATTAGAAGCATGAGCCACACACATCTGACTCACACTGACATCTTAATTTGCTTATATTTCGATATAGGCCAACACTAATAAAAGGAAAACATTTATATGCTGTGCTTTTCCTTTTCTCAAGAAATGTGTCAACTGTCTTAAATACATATTTATGTTTACATACATACATACAAATATTACCAAATAAAGGAGAAAGTGAAATAAGTCATTAGGTTCAATACTGAAAGTATGTGGGGATAAAGTAGCATAATACTATAAGTAAATGTTAGGTTGAACTAGTAATATGTCTGAATGTGATTATGTGCACTTGGAATGCCAACATTTAGGGACCTTACAGCAGAATCATAAGTTCCAGGCCAGCCTGGGCTACCTAGTTACTTGTACTTTCAGAAAAGAGAGTAGTTCATAAGGCCCCAACTCTCTCTTAGAATACGTGAAATAAGTATCATATCTTAAAACAGGTCAACAATGTAGTAGAGATGCGTCCTTTACTTCCTTGCATTCATTCATTCAGGTGGAACCTGAAACAGATAATGTAATCTTTTGGATAACAGCAGTGTAACTATTTAGGAACAAGTTCACTATTATAAAAATCTTGGTTTCTAGTTGGTTGCTGGGGGAAGGAAGGAGAATCATTTCTTCAGTGGTGTAGCCACTGAAAAGTATGCCATGTTCCAGTAAATAACCTCCTGTGCTAATGCAACACTAATTAAACTCATCCCCCCCCCCCTCCACGCACACACACACACCCCCCCCCAAGAAAGTGGAAGGGAGATTACTTGAGAAATGGAAAGGTTTCTATAGAAGAAGGAAGGAAGAGAAAGGATAAAAGTAGTGAAAATGACTGACTTTCACTCTGTGTATTTGAAACTGTCAGAGAGTAAGAATAAAAAAAATTTGAACAATATAAAATAATAAATTGAGAAAGTGCTAGATAGTTGATTCTAGTGGTGGATAAAATGCAAATAAATGGACCATTAAAATTAATTTTTCTTTTGGTTCCATTTTAGATGTTATTACAGCATATTTTAAATTTAGAGGAATCAAAATTATAAATCCAGTTTGTATAAGAGGTATATGTAAGCTAGTATATTTTACTTTTGTAGAGTTTCTCAGGTAATAAGGAAGCAACAAATTACTGAAATTTAAGCTTTCTGTATCAGTGACTTTTGTTTTGTTGTTGTAAAATTAGTTTATTAAAACTAGATATTTAAAAGCTATACTTACCTGTGACTGGGTCTGTGTGAATGGATGGATGCAAAGAAGAAAAGGACCTCTCTCTTTCATGTTGGTAATAGTTTTATAGTAAGGAAAGACATACACCTCATCTGAAATTTAGTTTATCTTGTGACTTTTTAGAATATAGTAAATGAGGAATGTCTTTTCCCCTGATTCATTGTTGTTTTTATCAAGAGTTATAATGGTTAAAGGCTAGAGATATGACTCAGTAGTTCAGTCCATTCCAGATGCCTTACAACTGCTTATAATTTTAGCTGTAAGAGCTACCCTTCTCTTACTACTGTGCTCATCTGTCCACACATGTATACATGCACAAAAATTATTTAAAAAAATAAAGCTTTAAAATGGTATCATTTATATTAATGTGGTGCCCTCAATATTTATGACTGTAAAGAAGGTTGTAGGAAAGATAAACATATCTTCCATAAAAGCATGTACAAAGGCTTCAGATATTCATATTCTTCTGTTCAGCCTGGGATCTTGTTTATATATCATTATGCAGCTATGTCCTACCAGTAAATAAAAGCTATTTGAACTGATTTCTGTGAAGAAAGTCTACACAAAGCATAATTCTCATCATCACTGTCTGACTGATCTATTGGTTATTAGCCAGTGTGATTATGCAGAAGCAGGTGGCATGTACTTTTGGCTTACCAAATGTATCATTTCTCAGAAACAGTACTCTAAGGTACTCTTGATATACCTGTCAGTTGTCTTTTAAGGAGTAAGTTCATAAAAAGAAAAGGTATCCATTTTTGTTACCCCTTTATTCTTTCTCAATATTCCCAAGTAAGCCAGGGTTTTGTTTGTTTTTTTTTTTCTTCTTTTTTCTTTTTTTTTTCTTTTTTCTTTCTATTTTCTGACAGTCAGCTGAGATGGACTAACATGATTGACTCTGGGAGAACCTAAATAATGTAATTGTAAGCATAAAATGTAAATGTAGACCCTATCATTATTTTCATTTTACTGATGGAAAAGCTAAAACCTGAGAACTTTGGGAAACTATCTCAAGCATATGGCATCTAAGAGGTGAAAGCACTTTAAATCTAAATCTTTTTCCATAGCTCACCATTTCACTGTCGTGTCTCTGGCAGAAAAATAGACATGTTTCCTGGTTGGAAAGGGTTTATCAAGAAGACTTTATGGAAAAAGATGATATGTTATAATTCAGATTCCTGCCAAGGGTGGGGGAGTTGTAGTTTGGAACATGTAAATGGAGCAAAGTTAGAAAATTATAGGACAGAAACAAATAAGTTCGGTTTAAGGTGGATCTTTTCTATTTTAAGAATACTTACAGCCAGGTGGTGGTGGCACACTTGGAAGGCAAAGGCAGGTGAATCTCTGAGAGTTTAAGGTCAGCCTGGTCTACAGAGCAAGTTCCAGAACAGCCAAGACTACACTGAGAAACCCTGTCTCGAAAAACCAAAAACATAAAATAACAAATTTACACTTGTCTGTATGTGCGTGTGTGTGTGCGCGCGCGCACATGTACATACATGCACATGCACCCTTGATTTAGCTAAATCATTATGATTTAACTAGAAGATAAATTTGACTCTTTTTTTTTTTTTTTTTTTTTTTTTTGAGGCAAGATTTCTCTGTGTGGTTTTAGAGCCTGTCCTGTAACTTGTTGTGTAGACCAGGCTGTCATTGACCTCACAGAGATCCTCCTGCCTCTACCTCCCGAAGGCTGGGATTAAAGGTGTGCACCACCATTGCCTGGCAAGCTGATTTTTATGTTGAATCTTCTTTTTTGTTTTGTTTTTCGAGACAGGGTTTCTTTGTAGTTTTGGAGCCTATCCTGGAACTAGCTCTTGTAGTCCAGGCTGGACTCAAACACACAGAGATCTGCCTGCCTCTCCATTTCAAGTGCTGGTATTAAATGTGAGTGCCGCCACCACTCAGCTGAGTCTTTTCTTAATGGGAATGAAGGAGACAAGCAATAACATTTCAGAAGCTGTGGCAGGAAGATTTGTTCAACCTGATGTATAGAAAGAGTTGAAGACCAGCATTGCTTAATTATTCCCTTTAAAAAAAAGAGGGGGGGGGTTTCCCCCAGGCGGTGATGGTGCACACCTTTAATCCTAGCACTCAGAAGTCACAGGCGGGCGGATCTCTGTGAGTTTGAAGCCAGCCTGGTCTACAAAGTGAGTTCCAGGACAGCCGGGGCTGTTAAACAGAGAAATCCTGTCTCTAAAACAAAACAAAAAGATAGGAATTTTTCTGTGTAGCCCTGGTTGTCTTGGAACTCGCCCTATAGACTAGGCTAGCCTCAAACTCAGACCTCTACAGGCCTCTGTGTGTGTGTGGGGGGGGGTGTTACGACAGGGTTTTACCGTGTAGTTCTAACTGACCTGGAACTCTGTAGACCAGGCTTTCCTCAAAACTCACAGTGAGATCTGCTTGCCTCTTAGCTAATTGTTCTTAATGATTTAAGAAAAAAAATCAGGATAAATGCCAGGCATGGTGATGCATGTCTTCAATCCCAACACTCAGGAGGCAGGCAGGGAGATCTTAGTTTCAGAGCTGCATAGTGATACCCTGTTTATAAAAAAAGAAAAAGAAAAAAAAAACTCAGTTAAGTTATCTCCCTCTTTCAAAAAGTCTGAATCATTGTTTTTATTTTTTTTTTTTAATTTTATTTTTAGCAGCCAGGAATACAGCCAACTGCTCCTCCTCAACAGGCAGTGCAGTATTCACTTCCACAGGCAGCATCTTCCAGTGAAGGCACCACTGCACAGCCTCAAGCTCCACAAGTTTTGCCTCAAGTGTCAGCAGGAACACAGGTAAACTCTAATTCCTGAAAAGATGCTACAGATGAAATCTGTGTACTTTTTCCTTTAACACAGATTTCTGCCTTCTCTTGTATAGTGAAGAATCTGTTAAAATGGAGTAGAGATTAATCCCATTATACACTTGTTTTTGTTGTAAATATCAATAGTAACGACCATGTCAAAATATTGAAATTTTAGGTTTTATAAGTATGAAGTAGTTACAAATATTGAAACTAATGGATTAAATGGAAATGCTTTGGTAACTGGACCTATGACATTCTCTAGAAATGTGTCAGCTGTATCTTATATTCCAGTTTTGCAGCTGTGTTTTATTTTCATGTAAAGTTCTTCAATGTTTTCTCCCTCACTGCATACAGATACTAATTTATTGTGTTAATTAGCTTTTCGTTATTGGCAGATGCCTAAGGACAATATTGTAAGAAAAGAATCATTTGTTTTCTTGTTTGATTTCAATCGACACATGATTGGCAAGCCATATTGCCTTTACATTGTAGCAGGAGATGGAGGAAGACTTGTAGATGAAGGAAAAATTATGGTATAAGAAAACTGTTTTATGACTGGCAAGGAGCACAGAAGAGGCTAAGGCCAAGAGATACCTTTCAAAGCCCCACCCACCCAATTCCTTTAACTAGGCCCCACTCTTCACATTTCCACAGCCAAGATTACCCATCAACTGGGTATGTTGTCACATGCCTGCAATTCCTGAGACAAGAGGTTCAAAAGTTCCAGACAAACCTGTGCTATCTACTACGTCCATTCCTCAAAAAACTTATGTGGATTTTTGTTTTGTCTGGGGAAGTTATTTTAATTGTTCTTTTGTTGGTTTATTCAGTCACTTGAAAAGTACCCTGTAGAAGGCATGTTCTTATGAATAACCTTTCATCAACTTCATCTATGGGTCAGTTGTAGATATATGTACATAGAATATTATTATTGCCATCTCAGAACTAAAATAATATTAATTCTAAGTGCACTATCTTATTTGCCACTGGCATATAGTCTTAATTTCTACATATATCTCACTCAGGATTTAAAATGACACAGTTGTAGAATCATATTCATCTAGAATCAGTGAATTAAGCTAATTATACCCACTTTTATAGTGTCGTTTTACACTTAAAATTGAGACATAATATGACGTCTAATTCCACTGGAAAGAAATTTGAATTAATCAGTATATTAGCAGTCACAGATTAGGTGATTGCAGACATGCTGGTGGATTATGGTGTGTGACACATATGCCAGTAGAAAAAGCTGGGTGGTGGTGGCGTACTCCTTTGTGTGCAGATCTCTGTGAGTTTGAGACCAACATGGTCTATCTACAAAGTGAGCTTTGAGGATAGCCAGTATTGTTACACAGAGAAACCCTGCCTCGAAAAACAAATAACAACAACTTGGGTGTTCTGCTACAAGTCTGGAGTTTTAGCATGTGGAAGGCAAAGGCAGAAGGACCTAGAATTTGTTTTTGTTTGGTTTGGTTTGGGGTTTTTAAGACAGGGCTTCTCTGTGTCCTTTGGAGCCTGTCCTAGAACTCACTCTATAACCCAGGCTGGCCTTGAACTCACAGAGATCCACCTGCCCCTGCCTCCCAAGTGCTGGGATTAAAGGCGAACACCCCACCACCTGGCTGGACCTAGAGTTTTAAGTCCAGTCAGAATCGCCCAGCAAGCTCCAGGAAAGCCTCAGCTGCATAGTGAGCGTCAAAATCAAAAAATAAACCAAGAGAGAGGAGAGAAATCCTTGCTTCTGAAAAGGTCATTTTTTTATTGCCAAAAATGAAATAGCAGCATTTTTTCAACAGTGAAAGGTTTGGAAATGTTACTTTACTAGCATATTTCTCTTCTATTCTTTCTTGATTCTATGTGGCATGTTAATTTATACTAATGTATGCAGAGTTTTGTTTTTCTTCTTGACTAATATATAAATCTTGCTTTTGGCAGCTTTGCTTTTTTAAAAAAAGTCTGTTTTGTTTTTCTTTACCTTCCCAGCTTCCAGTTTCCCAGACAGTACCAACTATCCAAGGCGAACCTCACATCCCAGTTTCCGCACAGCCCTCAGTTGTTCCAGTCCACTCTGGTGCTCATTTCCTTCCTGTGGGACAGCCTCTCCCTGCTTCCTTACTCCCACAGTATCCTGTCTCTCAAATTCCCATATCAGCTCCTCATGTATCTACAGCTCAGACAGGTTTCTCCTCCGTTCCTATAACGATGGCTGCTGGCATTAATCAGCCTCTGCTCCCCTTGACTTCATCTGCTACAGCATCTTCAATCCCAGGGGGATCAACTGTAGTTCCTAATCAGCTTCCAACCCTTCTGCAGCCTGTGAATCAGCTGCAAAGTCAGGTTCACCCACAGCTCGTACAGCCAACAGTTCAGTCCATGGGAATACCAGCTAACCTTGGACAAGCTGCCGAGGGTCCACTTCCCTCTGGAGATGTTCTGTACCAGGTATTGTGTTAGCTAGTAAATCAGAGGGTATTAGAGTGTTGGATTTTAATGGCAGATCATTAAGAACTTGAGAAATGTACTAGTTAGTTGAGTGTCAGAGTAACAATAACAAAAGTTGACACTCTGAACTAGACAAAATGAAAATAGCAAAATTCTGAAAAGGCTGGATGTGGTAGTGTGTGCCTTTGGTCCCAGTGTTTGGGAGGCAGAGGCAGATAGCAGATCTCTGTGAGTTCAAGGCTAGCCTGGTCTACATAGCAAGTTCCAAGTCAGCCAGGGCTACATAGTAAGACCCTATCTCAAAGAAACTATTGGAGTGATATTACCAAATGATTCATACACGGTTTTGAAGACACAACTTAGAAGAAAAGTAAACTCTATTCAAGGTAAGCTAGATAAACTTGGATAATAGTTAGTGTAGTATGCCAGGCTGCTCTTTTATATGTAGACAGTAAATAGAGCAGGTAGCCTGATACAAATAAGAAAGTTCAGGATTTATATTTTATATTATGGCTGCTATCTGGGAGAGATTTTTGCATTCTTCCATGTAAGAGTGCTATAAATTCTTTCTGTGAGAAATTAATCTCTTAAGTTCTACTTAAATGGTCTCTAGGAGAGAAAATCAGTTTAAACTATGATTGAAAGAGTGCCATTTTCTAAGTTATCTGCCAGTTCATTTTGAAAATGATCTTTAAATTTTCTTTAAATTATTAGAAACCAGGGTACTGTTCTTCGCTTTGTGCTTTTTTCCCTCTGGCCCCTCGTCTACTGATTTGCTAATTTGATGTACCTACTCACACTAACTCACCTTCCTCATTTCTGTCACAGGGCTTCCCATCTCGACTGCCACCACAATACCCAGGAGATTCAAATATTGTTCCCTCTTCCAACGTGGCTTCTGTTTGCATCCATTCTACAGTCCTAGCCCCTCCTCCTATGCCGACAGAAGCCTTGGCTACCCAAGGTTACTTTCCTACAGTAGTGCAGCCTTTTGTGGAATCAAATCTTTTGGTTCCTATGGGCAGTGTAGGAGGACAGGTTCAAGTGTCCCAACCTGCAGTGAGTTTAACACAACAACCCCCCACTACATCCTCCCAGCAAGCAGCCCTGGAGGTAAATGAAATTACTGCATGTTTATATGAAAAACATCTATAAAAAATGGGATTCAAATAGCAAAGGAAAAACAGGCTCCCCTGATTTACAACTCATTTGGAGACTGTCTAACTTCTAAATGACTTTTTCTTACAGCAGAATGAAATGGCAATGTGGGGGCCTTGTTGCCACTGGCTGTTCTGTTGGGAAGTGAGTTTGCCTTAGAGAAGATTAACACTATTAGCACTTCACTTCTCTAGTTAGTGCATTAGCCATTGTTCTCCTTCCACAAACTCTTGCCGTTGGCAGTTCGTAAAGAGTATCTTACTTGCTGTGCTCCCAACAACCTTTTCTATTCTACTAGGGTACAGTTCTGAATCTCTGCACTTCGCTCTACCTGCCCTTTTGCACACTCTAGTAAGATGCTGTCTGCATGGCAAATTGTAGTTTCACAATGCCTAGCAAATAGGTTGGCTGACTTCACACCAACAGTCGGTATTAGAAACTAGCTTTGGAAAAGATTTTGAATTAAGAATTACTAGTACCTTCATTGATTCCAAGACTTACAGAGGGGTAACAGGAACTTCTTAGGAATGGTGAATGATTTTATAAACGTGCGTGCGTGTGTATAAATCTTTTTTCCTGCCAAGATTTGAGTTATCCTCTCTATTCACAGAGTACTCAGGGAGTCTCTCAGGGTGTTCCAACAGAACCAACTCCAATAACACAGTCACAACCTACCCAGCCTGTCACATTGGTTTCAAATGTAGACAGGTAAGAAAACTAACACTTGTT